ATAGTTCTCTTATCAGCAGCACTTCAAGGGTGGTTCGATATTCTTCGCATGATGGAATTGCAGTACGAGTGACTAGGTCGTAAAGGGACTTGCAATCAGTTACAATGATAGCTTTTTGAAGACCTGCCAAAGATTTGGAAGGTGTTCTCCAGTCAAAGTTTTTGATAACAAGGGAACCCCAAAGAAGTCTCATCCAGCTTAGTTTATCTACCCCTCGTGACATAGAGAAGGCCTCTGCTGATAACGTGGATCGAACGACACGTGCAATCTTTTTCGAAGACCAAGTTAGGGGGCTTATTGGGGCTTGAAGGTTATCTTGAAGTTTCGGGGTCGTGGCAAATACAATGGTTCCTTGAAATGAAGACAATTGTTTTTGGCTGGCGAATGACGCATCTCCAAAGACTACGTGAGTAACCTGAGGCACGGAAATGGACCGGAAACAAATTCTTGTGTCACTAGTTTCTTGGGCTTCCCGAAGCAACTTGTTGGCTGTCATCAGTGTCTGAATTGTTGGTTGTGAGATTTGAACTTGAATCTCACCAAGCTTGGATGCCAGGTCTGGTCTCGTGTGGGTCACTGCATATTGGATACTGCCGATCAAGCCACGTAATGCTGACTTTTCAGCTTCGTTGGCCGGCTGTTCAGGACAGTTTCTGCGGTGTTTGCCAATTTCGATGGACACAATACCATGGACATAGTCTTGCTGAGAAGCTACTATGCTATGATCAGGTAATTGTTCCAACTGGATGCCTGTGAAAACGAATTTCCTTTGTTTGAACGATCCAAATGGCAGCCTTTGTTTCAGGGATTCAAGTTTTTGATGAAAGATGTGGTCACCACCACAGATCCCGTCATCAACGTGTGTACCCAAAACACCATGTAGTATACGTTCACCGTCTTTCCATGATTCCAAGTAGTGTATACAGGGCTCTAAGGGATGTGGTTTAAAACCCAACCGTTGCAATTGTGAAGACAGTTCACGATAAAACAGCAATGGTGCATCCACTCTGCCGTATGCGTTTCCTATCAACGCACATACCTGATTGTCCTCCAGTCGAAGCTTTTGACGCAGCTCTCGGGGAGGTTCCATGGCTAAGGGATTTGCATCATCAGCACGCCCCCTCAAGAAGGCAGTACGGATGTCGAAAGAAGACAAAAGCCATTGACATGATGCTATCACCTGTAAAATGGTATGCCCTCTCTGGTCAGTGTCGGTGCGTCTCTGCAACTTCTGTTAATCTAGGATCCATGTAACCTAAAACCACAAGTCGGGCTTTGGCTTTACGACTGTTAACCTGACCATCAGCACCTTCAATTGGTTTCCAAGTGAGTACCCATCTCGATCGCAAAATCTGTTCAGGGTTGAGGGACTTTCTCAAGATAGGTTTCAGGGCACCTGTCTGAAGCCATGTCAATTCGGCGTCTTTGGCAATGTCAAACAATCTACGATCCGCCGGTGTTAGGTCCTTCAATTGAACCTCAGCTCGTGCTCGTTTTCCGGCACTGGCTACACATGCAAGATCTTCAGGTTGGTTGGATTGCGACCATTTCAAAATATCCTGGCGAGTCATTGGTACTTCCAACATAAAACATTGTTCTTCCTCGTGGTCAAGTGGTTCATCTATGTATGGAAGGCCATCTTCAGCTAGACATACCTCAGCATCTGTCTCACCTGATTGAAAGGTCATCCAGTCGTACACTGGTTCTGGATGTATCTGTCCCAGAACCTCCTGGCATGTGAGAATGGGTTCACTGCAAAGGCCATCACTGTCATCTTCGAGATCCAGCGCAGGAGGATGTGAACCCGATGGGTTAGCCTCTGGATTCTGTTCAGGATTTTCTTGAACATGACTTTCGGCTGGTGTTTCGGCTTCAGAAGTGATCTGTCTGGAAAATGATTGGTTTTCAGGAAAATTTTCACTTTCAGGTTGTCCTTGAGATTGCTGGCTGTGTGGAGTCGGAATTATTCCGGGTGCAACACTGGGTGAATATCCTGGACTCTCAGGTTCCCCTGGGTTCTCTATCGTCCTGTCTGGAGGCCTGAAAAGATCCTGCTGTTGCTGGATCATGGGACCAAGGGGATCCCCACTGCTTTGCCATTCGCGAATGGACGCTGGACGCAGACTTTCGGGAGCACATCGCAGCACTCTATGGGCATGAGCTACCCATATCGTTGATGAATTTTCTTGGCTGATGATTTTGGCTGGTCCATGCCAGCGCCCTCCTTCACGTCTGTTTGCCTTGGTTTGATGTCTCCAGTACATGACCTGTTGACCTTCATGATATGGACCTCGAACTGGGCATGAACGACGAAGTAAGGCTCTTCGAATGGCTTGACTGTTGTCTACACCTACAAATGTCTTACGAGCAAGTGATCGAATGTCAAGTGACTGTCTAAAACGTTCTGAATCCAAGTCATGTCCCAAGGCTAAGCTGTGTGCTCCCGATTCTTCATCCGACGTCAGGGATGCTGGGAGTTTGGTAGCCTTTCCAAGCACTATTTGTTCGGGTGAGTATCCACGGTGTTTGCACATGGAATTCTTGGCTTGAAAGCATGCTCTCAACACGATGTCAAACTCTTGAGTGCTTTGGATGCATTTTTCTTGATCAAAACGTGTTAACATCTCTTTGATTAAAGCTCCATGACGTTCCACTCGACCCTTTTGCCATGCTTCCGTGGACAGTTTGGGAATGATGTTGTTGCTCTGCAAAAATGCGAGCCATTCATCCGAACAAAACTCTCCGGCGGGATCGGAGTAGACATTTGAGGGACTTCCGGCCCATGCAAACCACATATCGGAGAAGGCAGGCAACACATGTTCCAGATTTCTGTTATCTAATCGTCTGCCAATATGGAAAAGTGAAGATTCATCAATGCAATGAAACACCATTACCTGAAACCCGCCTTGTCCTGACCAGAAAAATCCATCAATACCCACGGTGTCGTTGAATTCCCGGGGTTCGTGAAGTTGAGCTGGGCGCTGATGTCGAAACGAACTTGATTCCACACAAGCGTCACATACAAACTCTCGAGCAGCATCAACAATCTTGGGATCTGCACCTTGTAAACGAAGGTGTTGGGATAACTTTTCTGGATCTGGGTGTCCAAGATTCTTATGGAGTTTGATGAGTTCATTCTTCTCAGTTTCGTTCAAAAGTCGGAATTTTGGTCCATGCAACGCTATAGGTGGAGGTGCCCAGCCTTCACAAACTGCATTCGGTGTTCTTTGTGTCACCGACAGGGGCAACTGGTCAGCCGATCGAACTCGAACAGCTGAAACATTGGGATCTTCAGGAACAGGCTTTTCGTCATCCCGATTAGGATGGCTGACATGCAAATGCTTTTCAGGCACTTCGGAAATTGCAGGCTCAGACACTTTTTCTGTTCCAAATACTGTGATGGTCATCTTGCTGGGAATGCAGTTTCGAATGCGTCGTGCACGAGTCATGTTGTGCCAATTTTCTGGTCCTAAATCATGGATTTGGTTGGTGTGACGATGCAAACAAACTGTGTATCGAATGGGGCATCCATGTGAGGCAGGTGCATGAATTGGAACTTGAAAACGTTCCGTGCCACGGCAAATATAAATGCTTTCAACCTGAATCTGGGGCACGAGCTGACATACCTGAGAAAAGATCTCTGAGTCTGCATCACATCGCATGTTGCCTACTCGGGGAGCAGCACTTTGTGCCAACTGCATTACAAGTTGCCAGGGCTGAGATTCACCGGCAGGTGATTGCACTCCGGTTTGCTCGGGAACTGCACTTGCCTCAGACCCTACGATGGCTGTGTCTGGAGGATGACGATTTGACCCGCTGGCATCATCAGAGGTAGGTGGTGTTTCTAAATCCAAAGGCTCATTTGGCTTGCGACGTTTGTGTGGATTGGCAAGAAACTTGAATCTCTTGGCGGGCGGTTCATTCTCATCGTCCAGATCTATGGCCAGCGCTTCGGAAGGCAGGCACATCGTGTGGGTTCTGTGACACAGGAACTTAGCTATGGCCTTGGCGAAACCTTGGCAGTACGTGGCACAAAAGTGAGTCAACTTCGTACTCACACCATTCAGGCTTATCGAGCCTTCGATGCGCTGATGAGTGTGTCCACGAGGGCACTTGTGATCATGCAACAACTCATGAAACTGTTGGGAGGTGGTTATGACCATACTACCCTTCTTCAAGTATTTCTGGGTTCCAGGAATTCAAAGGCCAAAGCTGCACATGCCAAATGACGCTAGCATCACATGTTTGAGAATGGGAATCATGACATCTTGCTTGATCAAACTGGATCCTTGAGGCTGTTCCAAGTGAAAATGTCGTTGACGTTTGATTTGATATTGACAAAGTTTGACACAAAGTTGTAAGTGAGGAAGCTGCTCTCGTTGTTGAAATATTATCAAACATTGACATGCTCTTTTGTTGGCTCAGGTGATTCCATCCACTCCATGGGCCACATTCAGGAGCTACCCAGATATGTTCTGGCTGTGTTCTTTCGATCAAGGACCATAATTTGGCTCTTCCGGCAATGGTGGACAAATCACCGTCCTCTCGGGAGAAACGCACGCTCGGCAAACCAAGCTGTTTCACTGCATCAGTCAGAGGGCTGTGGCGTCCAGCATACACTTCCAAAAGAAAAATACGGTCTTTGGGAAAATCAAGCTTGGGATTGACATCACACATATGTTGATCAAAAACTTCTTCGGCTTTGTGGACCTGTTGCAACAGTTCTTGTTGAGAGAGATTCCAGGAACATTCATTGGACATATCATTCCGGGTTTGCTGGATCTGTTGATGAAACTCAGGGTTCATCACACTTCCGCTGCTGAAGCCTCGGCTGCTCTTTGGCTCATCTTGAGTTGGCCATATCTCACTAGATCTTGCATCTCCGGTGTCAAGGACATGAATCTCTTCTGGCACCACTCGAGGTATGCTGGATCCTGTTGCAGGGTCTGATCGAAGGTCTTTCCTCGATGTTTCTTTCCCCAGCTGACAATCTGTGATCCTCACTCCTCGATGGATCGCTGCTGAGCCAGTTGCTGACGAACTGGTGGAGCAATCCTTGACGATGGAGGGGCTTTGGCACTGGTGATCTCTATCTCCTCCTCCTCCTCCACAATCACGTCGTCGTCGGACTCCGCTAAGCACCATTGCATTGGAGGCTGTGAAGGTCCGACGCTGGCCATCCGGTGATTTGCCCCAGTTCCAGAGTGATCTGTCGGCATAGAAGGACTGGCCACGGACTTGGTCTTGAGGTTCTTGGAGACCAAATTTGCAGTGCTTCCTTGACTCTGGGAGTTCATCTTCCGCTGTTGCATGAAGTTCTCCAGAATCATACGTTGACTGTGAAGCTCTTCCATCATCGCTTGGATCTGAGTGTTGGACTCTGGTGGAGCCTCGGCAGTCGGGTTGACCACTGGAGCAATCTCGATGTGTTGAATCATCACTTGAAGCAGCAGCGTCAAAACCTGAGTCAACGATTCGGCCACGGTCTTGAAAAGATTCACCATGGTCGGCATTCTGGCAAGTCTCGGAGAGACACGCTGGGAAATTGGGCGGATCGCTTGGGACTTTCAAAGCACTGGCGGTGGTGAGCCATTTTGATTCTGGCTTCTGTCTTTGGCGAGCAAACGAAAACTGTACATTCAAATGACTCAGCGACCCTTGTTCACCGGCATGTTCATGGGTTTTCAAACATGACTCCCCTACAAAGGCTGTGGACTGATTATCATTTTTCATATTGTCATTCCCCTGACAAAGCTCACCAACATCTATGAGATATAACCCCGTATTACTGATGGTCAAAGTGATGGGCTCAGAGTGAAGGCGATGCATTCGACATGTGTCATGAACTGTGTCCAAGACTCCACCCAGCAACTTGAAAGCACGTTTTGAGAAAAGGAACGGAGTACTGCCTGGCACTACTTCTACGGCTAGCCAAACAAGTCTTTGGTCACATGCTCTCAAAGGAAAATGAACTCTGAAAGAACTCGTCAATGATTCATTGTTTCCAAAACGGAATTTGATCTGACTTGGACTGGTCTTCAATTTGTTGCTGACTGATGTTGGCAACTTGGCTTTCAGTGAGTTCAAAACTTTTTCACCGATGATACATCGACTTGCTCCTGTGTCCAAAATGGCATGTGAGGAGCCATTGCCACACTCAAAAGGACTTGCGCTTCGGCTTGTCCAAAGTGGACTTCTCCGGTCATGGCTGTCTTGATCAAAACTTCAGGTGTCCTGGCAGTGGCAAACGATCGGTGACCAATCTGTGTGTGATTCATTTTGGAGTCGGATGTATTCGGTTGCATGGCATGGCTTTCAGTACCCTTACCCCGTGTCTTATTCATCTTATCTATCCCATTATGATTATCCTTTATCCCCTGAGACCCTTGGAGAAATCTGGACATTCGGCTGTGCAGACGTTGATGATCACTGGCTGTGATCTGAAACATGGCCATGTAACAGACTTCTGTGGGACAAACTTCGGAGACATTGGGACATTGGGACATGACATGATGGACTGGGGACAAAACACGTGCCTGTGAGTCAGGTTCAGGTTCAGAGTAGACCTCTTCCTCCAGGCACTCGTTCTCGTCCGTGGCAACGTTGGCTGATGCAGTTGGATTCGCATTGTTCTGGTCCTTGGAGTTCATCGGACATTCGGCTTTCCAATGCCCCATCATGCCACACTTTCTGCAATGTGACCGGGCAATCCTGGCCAGCAGCTGCTCACGGGATCTTTTGCCCTTGGATTTCCCCTTGGACATCTTCCCAGAGCCACGGCCTTTGGTCGGCCAAAAGCCTCGGTTGCGGCGCTTCTCCAACAAACGGTTCCTGGCTTCAAGGTACGTAGTCATAGCATCATGCATTTCAGGTGTCTCCTGCAGAAACTCTTCCAGTTCATTCTCGAAAGCACATACTGTAAGAGCATCGGCATCTTCCTGAGCAGCCAATGCTTCAATTGTCTCATGGTCCAGATCACCTTCAAAGTCATCAGTATTGGAGAAAAATGCTCTTTCAGGTTGATCAGAACTCTCGGGCTCCACATTCTCAGAGAGATTCACATCATACACACGGGTCTTGGTGGCATGTTTACCAGTCTGAAACTCATTGAAGAAGCGACTCCCAAGAAGTCTAAATGACTTCACCACAGGTTTGTATTTCAACTCCCCTTCATGTTCCAACAAGATACGCTTCTTGTCATCAGCCGGCAAAGTCGACTGCCTCAGTAGTATGTAGGCCTGGACCTCTTCCAAGGTCGTTCCACGTGAAATCAACTCCAAAAAGCTAGCCTCCATGCGAGACAAGTAGGAATCGTGGCTTTCATCAGCCCTTTGAACTGTACCATAGATCGAGCGCTCGAAAAATTCGTAGCGCTCCTCCAGCTCTGTCGAGCCCCATGAGCCTCCAATGGCATCGACCAAGAGTGCGATACCAGATTGGTTGGGCACCTTCAGCTTGTTCGGATCCAACCTCGCCACCTTTTTGAAGGCGGATCCCTCCACCAGCAACGCTGCTCGTGGTGCAAGCTGTTCCAAGTGCTCCGATGGCCACATGGCCGCTAAGAACTTCAACTTCTGCACATATTCCTGGACATTTGTCGAGCCTGGAATGAATTTGGGTATGCTCTGCCATGGTGGTTGTGGAGTCAAACTGGGTGTACCCTGGGTAGCACCTGCGCTTGATGGTCCAAGATCCCCATCGTCAGGCACGGTGACACCAATGCCTCCACCTTGCATCGCTGCAAATCAAAAGTCAAAACTGTAAAGGCCCCCTGGATGTCCGCTCTTGCGGTGAACCAGCACCGGAGCCCTTTCGGGCTCCGCTACCAGTGTGAATGGTGTGTGACCACACACACTGGTAACTCGCCCTTTGGGTCCCCGACCTCACAAAGAATTGGATCAACCCTGTTGATCAAGATCAGATGAAATACCAAATTGCCAAATGATGTCTGTTCCCAACAGAGATAAATAATGAACCCTGTTCAGTTGGTGACCCTGTCAACCAGTAAGAATCCGCAGCCGCCGATGTTTCACCACGAAGCCATGCGTCGTCCAACGACGTCCCTACCTCGCCCTCACCATGACTTGACAGGTCACATTACAGGCAAGGCATGAAGTTCATATGCAAGACCAAGACATACTGGCAGCTCACATCAAGGATAGCTATGGAAATTTCACATATATATGCATATATATATACTATACATGTGTATCATAAAGCCGTGTTGGAGTTAAATTTACCAACTCCGCGATTCCAAACTCACCCCCTAGGGTCGGGTCTTGCAACAATAGATCCATTAAGAGCTCCATCACTGGATGGTCAGTTCTCATTTGTTCGGCCACAAATCTGGGCCTACTGTATGTACTCTCAGATTATCATGTGCAAACTTGACTGACTAACAGTTTCCAGATTTGTTTCGACCACCAAATTTGACACTCTTCACTAGGTCACTAGGTGGTCGAAACATGTTCCAGGATAAGTCATGCCGGACAGCAAGTCAAGCCGGGTTACCCACAAGAAAGATCTGAACCGAGAATCTCCATATGGAGATTACAAATCATCCATTTTAGTAAGATTTTCCATTGTAAAGCATCCAGCTTTTGGGCTACCACCTTTTATGGAAACCTCCATATTTCGATGATATATTTATTTGATGAGTTCCCAATGAATGTCCTTAATTCCCATGTCCAGTTCGGGGAAATAGCATCGAAATGGATGTGAATCAAACCACAGCAAAACTATGGTTTAACATCACTTTAAGATAAGTCGAGACGGAGTTCCCATAAGTTCCATAACAAACCCTGAACCATGGTGTGTCCCCATAGTTGGCGAAGTTGATTTAAAAATCCAACAACTATAGAGTTGATGATGGTTTATGAACCAACAAACATTTCATGTTTGAAATGAACATATATATATATATGTACAAGGTGGTGCCCCATAATTAGCTAAGTTGGTTTATAACTCCCATAACTATGGTTTATGGTAGATATAACTAGAGTTAATGGGGTTTATAAACCAACTTATAACTGGGGGGCACCATCCTGTATAGTAATCCAACAACTATTTATAGATAAACCAACAACAATCCACAATTCCTGGTGGTTCACGAAGCAACACACGAGACCTGCAGGAGCTGCAGAATCGTCCCTACGTGGCCAACTATGCTAAGGAGATGGGGAGAAATGACTGGGGGACACGATGAAAATACCATTTTTAGGATCAATACCTATGAAATGTGGTGTAGCAACTAAGACCAAAAAGAAATTGAACACAGACCCTAGGAAAGCAGACTGAAGAAAGTGTGAGCGCATGAAATATAAAGAAAGTGAAGATAGGGACTAAACAAGCGAAAGGGGAGAGTGTAAAAAATACAAAAGAGAAGAAGGACAGTAGCAAAGTAACAGAAGAAACGAAAAAGAACCAAGATTAAGAAATCGCGTTAGATGGAGGAGAAGATACAGGGGGAGAGGAGAAAGTAGGGGAAAATAAAGGGAAGAGAGGACCATTTTTTAGGGGGTTTTCACATCCATAAATCCCAGCTATTTTGATGTGAACTACAGGGGTACAAGGTTTTGACACACTGCCACTTGAGACGAAGAATCATAGGTGCTGAAATGTTGTTTCCTGTTTTAAATCCTGTCTCATTTTGTTTCATGTCTAACTATGTTTAGGTGAAACATAGTAGTTCAACATGGTGATGGCGATTTCACCGAATGTGACCCGCCAAAGATGACATGAATCAAAGTCATGAATTTCTGGGATTTTGCCATGAATAACGGTTTGATGAGATGAGATGGCACTGAAACATCAAAAATGAAGCAATGTACTTGGGCATTGATTAGATTGGCTCCTAAACAATCCATTGTACATCAAACCCATTTCCATTGTTCAAACATCAATAGGGAACCAATCTAATCAACAATGGAAAAAGGTTTGCCTTAAAACGATATCACCTTTTTTGATCGCCTTTTCCATTGGGAGTATGATACACAATGGAATTGACTGAGGTCCAAAATTCGAGACAATAGGATTTTTCAACAGACCAACATGGTGACATGCTTGATATATTGATAAAAATAACTTCAGTACCCAGGTTCCCCTGGGCTACCGCACAGTTGGGATTGAATAGGATATACCAAAAACAAACCCAGTTCAATCATTTGTTGATTATATATATATATATACACATAATTATATGTAATATATATATATATATATACATAAATCATCATAAATCAGTACTTTTGTTGGTCAAACCACCATTTTCGCCATGTCTGATGGTTTTGAATGAACTCTTCATGGTGAAATTCCCATTGTGTTCGTTCGATCTCCGGATTGTTAGCTCCCACCCCAGGCCCCCTGCAGGAATTGCTGCACTACTCCCGCGAGACCGGAACGGGTGGCTGCGAGGCGGCTGTATATGAGATTGAACGCGCGTCAAAGACGGTCCGACAAAATA